ACTCTTTAGTATACCTTTGGTGTGGGCCTCCAGGAAAAGTCTTGGGGGGCTCAACTCTTTAGTCACCTTGACAGAACCCCTCTTTGGACAGTGTGTACAGGTGACTCTCAAATACCCACACGGAGATTTTCTATGGTGACTCGATCATTGTAGACTCTTTACTCTTCCCAGTCCGCACGCTCTTGCCCACCTCCTCTAGCCGTTGGCCGGATTCAGCTTGGAAAATATATACTCGTTTTAATGTCAAGCTGAGAAAAGTTAATTAGAGGCATAAATCTGCCGGGGTTCCGAGGAAGGGTGTGGATGGGTCACATCATGTATTTGAGTGCCTTTTGGATTATCGGCTGGCTTTAATAACCCGCCACATCCATCCTCCATGACCATGGGTGAGTGAGTGTATCTTGGTTAGCTCCACTATCCCTGGGGGTACTTTGTCTCCTTTCTTCCCCCCTCATCCCTGTGTGCAGGGCAGATAATAACCTGCCTGCCTTCTAGCATCCTATCACTTTTCATTTACATCGGGTAACTTGGGATTTTAAAAAAAGGTTCTGGGTCTTTTTTACCAGCTCCAAAATCCTATCGGAGTCCTAGTGGCCCCCAGCTGGGCCCGGCTTAGGGCGAGGCCTCCCTCAGGAGAGCGGAGCCGGCAGCAGGTGGTGAGGCGGGGTGTGGCCAGGGTCTCTGCTTCTCGGGGACCTTCCAGCCTTGTGGCCCCAAAGGGGCTGTCCCTCCCGCCCCCCCAATCATCCGGGTGGGAGGCAGCATGAGAGTGAACCACCACCGGAGCTCCGCATTCCCAGAACCAGAGAGAGGAGGGGGCCGACGGGATGGGGCTGAGGACGAACTGCAGGCAGCGGATGGAAAGGGTGACATTGCCAAGGAGGTGAACGATGGGGCCGGGGTGGGGGGGCAATCGTGAGAGTTATTACCTTAGCGTATGTCTCCGAGTTGCCCCAGGACCCTGAAGTGAGAGGAGCCCAACTGGCAGAGCGGAGAGAAGGCTTCGGCCGCATCAGAGAGAGCGCGCTGTCCTAGAAAACGCCCCGTCAGGCGGGAAATGGGCTTTGTCGCCGCTCTGTCACGGGGTGGCAGCAGCCACCTGCGGCTTCCCAGCGCTTGAAATGTGACTAGGGTGCCCGAGGCACTGGATTTTTAATTTAATTTTCTTTGAATGAATTTAAGTGTCCCGAGCCGCACGTGGCTGGTGGCTATCCAGCGGGGGGGGGGGTGGGGGGGGGGGCGGTTGCAGCTCCGATGACGGGGTGGGCAGTAGGGGGACCCCAGGCGACCGGAAACCGGCTGCCACGGCGGTTCACGGCCGCCCCTGGCATTCGTCCCGGTTGGTTGGCCGCTGACTACCTCTGCAGCCTGGGACAAGTTACGTCCCCTCTGTGAGCCCGTTGTCCCACCTGGGAGATGGAGAGCAGAGCCGCGCTGACCGCGCAGAGGGCTACCGGAGGCACTGAGTGCATGTGGACCTCGTCACCGGGTGCCTGGCATCCACGGAGCTCCCCGGAAATGGTTGCGGGGGCGACGCCTTGTGTCAAGGTGTCATGACGTTTACCTTATGACATCTTATTTTCCTGTGCCTTGGCCCTAGTCACCGGACACCGAGAAATCAGCCCTACCTTGCCAGTGCCTCGAGGCATGAGGATAATGGCCTGTGCCCCGACTGACTCCCTTGAGCGCCCCAGCAAAAGATCCGTTATTTGATTTTGGAACTTTATTGTGTCTGAGCTTTGCATGAAATGAGATTTGAAAATGAAAGAAAGGGTGAAATAGTCAAGGTCAGAGTAGTAACATGAAAAAAATCACAGGCCCCACAGGCCCCATTTCCCATCCATTGAACAGGCATTTATTTACTGAATCTATACTGAGAGACTAGTGCTTACAAGCACAGACTCTGGGCTTGTATCCACTACTTACTAGCTGTGTGACCTTGGGCAAGTTACTCAACCCTCTCTGTCTCTATTTCCTTATTTGTCAGTGGGGCATAATAATAGTACCAATCTTTCAGGTTGTTGTGAAGAATCAATACATGTAAAGCACTTACGGACTTACTTGGCACTGATGAGCACTTGATAAATATTGGCTGATGTGATTACTATATGCTGGTACCACGATCGGGGCACTTTAAAGGGACCCCGGTGGCAGCAGTGAGGGGCAAGACTGGCGGCAGAGTTACCAGCTAAGAGACGATTGTGGTATTCCAGGCATGAGATGATGAGATCGAGGGACTGATGGACCTATTGCAGGGACGGAAAGGTGGGGAATGGCACTGGAGATGTTAAGAGGTCCGATCCACTGATGAAGAAGGGATAGAGGATACGGAAGGAGGACCACTTTTGGAGAGCAGACGTCTATGTGGTCATTTCGGGACACATTGGGTTTATGAAGACAGTCTGGTAGTGGTTCTGGAACTCAGGGAAGAAAGAGGTTAGGATTAGGGGTACAAATGCAGAAGACCTTAGAACTCTGTGTCAGGCCCTCTTATTTCTCTTTCTCCACTTTCTTCTGAGGTGATTCCCATTGTTTTCCATGCCATCTTTAGGCTGATGAATTTGTTTTCAAACTTCCATCTCTAGCCCTGACCACCTGACTAATGTCTAGACTTCTATATACAGCCAGCTACTTAGGATCTCCAGCTGGATGACTAACACACATCTCAAATTTAATATGTGCAAACCCCTATTCTTAAATCCATCCCCACCCCCACTCACTCCTCCCTCAGTCTTCCAGTCGTAGTGAATGGTACCCACCATCTACCTAGTTGCTCAAGCCCCAAAACCTAAGGGTCACATGCTCTGGTTGTTTCTTCAGGTCACTTTTGTAGGCATCCCTTCCTCTGCCCACCCCTTTAGAATCTCCTTTTACTCTTCAGGCTCTCCTTGAAGTGATGCTAAGACCATACATTTCCTATGGCTTCAAGCATCCGTTCCCTGACTCATTCATTCTGCAAATATTCATCAAGCACCTGCTAGGTACTGTGCCGAATGCTAGAGATTCAGTAGGAGCAAGGAACAGAGAGGCACCACACTCATGGAGTTTGTATTTGAGGGGTGGGGAAGACGTGTAATAAACAAACTGATAAATGAAACATGATTTCAGATGATAGTAAGGGAGATAATAAAACAGGATGACGTGATGAGACACTGACCAAGGTCAGGGCCTACTTAGTCGGGATGACCAGGGAAGGCCTCTCTGAGGAGCTGACATTGGAGCTGAGACGTGGATGATGGGAGAACATTGTAGGCAGGTGCAAAGACCCTCAAGAGGGGAGAAATTATAGGAGCCTAGCAAATGGGGATAACAAGATGGGCTAAGATTAGAGATTTAGGCAATGGCTCTATCTCATTAGGTCAAAGTAAAGAGCTTAGATATATACACAGTGCAACTGAAAGCTCTTGGAGGGTTTTGAAGCAGGGAGACGGATATGGCATGATTTCCATTTTTAAAAGTTGGCTCTGGCTGTTGTGTGGAGAATGGCCTTTACAAGCTGGGAGACCAGGGAGGAGACTGTTGCTTTGATCCAGGAGAGACAGCAGTGGCTGGGATTACATGGGAGGCCAAGGCCAAGGAGAGAAGGAGGAGCGAGAGATGGGCATGTTAATCAGGGATCAGACTGATGGAATTCGTGGGATGAGGGATGGGAGAGGAGGGGGAGGAAGGAATCAAAGGTCCTAGCCCAGTACCTGGCAGGTGCTCGGTGAATATTTGCGGAATGAGTGAGCCATCCTCCAGCCAGGGTGGAGGTTGCTGAGGCCACGGGAAAGGTTATGGTCTTAGCATCACTTCAAGGAGAGCCTGAAGAGTAAAAGGAGATTCTAAAGGGGGTGGGCAGAGGAAGGAATGCCTACAAAAGTGACTTGAAGAAACAACCAGAGTGGTAGGAGGAGGAACAGGGAAGTGTGATGTTACAGAAGCCAGCCCCGCTTCCCTCTCCAGAAGTAACCAATTCTAACAGATGGGTGGGTATCCTTCCAAATCATCTTCTATGTATTTACATACATTCACAAATGTTTATATTACATGCATATGTAGTTTTTTTGGTTTTTATATAAATGAGCTCATAGTACATGCATTATTCTTTCACTTGCTTTCTTAAAAAAAAATAACAGCTTTATTGAGCTACAATTCACATACCATACAATTCACACATTTAAAGTGTACAATTCAGTGGTTTTGTAGTATATTCACAGATCTGTGCAACCACTGCCATAGTCCATTTTTAGAACGTTTTCATCGCCTCCGGAAGAAACCCTGTTTCCTTTAGAAGGATCACTCCCTTATCACCTGCCCCCTCCCCCCAATCCGAAGCGACCACTGATCTCCTTTCTGTTTCTACAGATTTGCCTCTTCTGGGCTTTCATATAAACGGGAGCATATCCTCTGTGGTCTTTTGTGACCGGCTTCTTTCACTGAGCACCACGTTTTCAAGGGTCCTTTATGTGGTAGCATAAACCAGAATGTCCTTTCTTTTTATTGCCAAGTAATATTCTATTGTATGTATAGACCACACTGGGTTTAGCCATTTATCAGTTGGTGGACACTGGGTTGTTTCCTACTTTTGGCTATTGTGAATAACATCGTTACGGACACTCGATGACAAGTGTCTGTATGGACACACATTTCCATGTCCCTTGAGTGTCTACCTAGGAGTGGAATTGCCAGGCCATGTGATAATCTATGGTTGACATTTTGAAGAACTGCTGGACTGTCTTCCGAAGTCACTGTAACCTCCAGTCATTCTACACCCCCACCAGTAGTCTCCGAAGGTCCCAGCTGCTCCGCATCGTCACAAACGCTTGTCAGTGTCTACCCTTCTGATGATAGCCACGCTAGGGGTGTGATATCACTTACTTTTCTAGGTAACGTGCCTTGAATGTTTTTCCATATTGGCACGTATCGATCTCTCGTGCACTGAACTGCTGCGTAATATTTCAGAGACCACTCTTTTCGAGACGCTCCTGTCTATATCACTGTGTTCTGTCCTCCCCCAGGGCGCAGCAGCCTGGAGGTGGGAATGGCCGTGCTGGATGACCGCATCGATCCGGATTTGGAAGTTGTGAGGCAGCTAAGGCAGGAGGATGAGGTGAAGAACGGTGTTGCTGGTTTATGGTGAGAGGGTACTTGAAGTGAGTTACCAACCCTGGCACATATCGGTCCTGGTAAGTGACAGTGACGAGGAACTGCAGTGTTGACTACAGCGTAGTGCCAGACCCTAAAAGCAGGTTTTGCAGGAGAGCAGAGAGCTAGTTTTTTGTCTTGTTTTGCACTTACCCATTTCCTCTGTTGAGTTCGTTTCTTCCCTCCTTCTTTCCTTTCTTCCTTCCTTCTTCCCTCCTTCCTTCCTCCCTCCCTCCCTTCCTTCCTCCCTCCCTTCCTTCCTCCCTGCTTCCTTCCTTTCTAAGATTGCATTGTTCACTGCCTTGTCTTTTCAGATGATTCAGAACATAATAGGACCTTGTTTTGGGACTCAGAGTGGCCATTCTGACCGTCTGCTTTTGCCCTGGACCTCTGAGGCATGTAGGAATATGTCTTTCTCCATTAAATGGGTCCCAGATTTCTGTGCTTTTGAAATTCCATCTGCTTCAGCTTCCAGCTTTACTCGTTTTGGTGTCAGAGACTGCGATCAGCGTTAGTCTAGGTTCTTCTAATACACAGGTTTTTGACCAGGGACTGACCTCATGCATCTCCTATGAAGTTTCTGGGTTTCATGATAGCAATTTTACCTGCTATTTAGATGGGGTTTTTTCTCTTTTAGATTTGTGGTTACATTATGGTAGAGGTTATGAGGAATCTGATCTCCAGAGAAGGGTTGGTGCCTCTTTAATTTGATACAAGCTATTTTGGGTGGGCGAGTTTTCCAGCATTGAAGAATGTCAATGAATAAGTTTGTGTTCATCTTACCCACATTTTTTTTTTAAGATTTTATTGATTTATTTGACAGAGAGAGACACAGCGAGAGAGGGAACACAAGCAGGGGGAGTGGGAGAGGGAGAAGCAGGCTTCCCGCGGAGCAGGGAGCCCGATGCGGGGCTTGATCCCAGGACCCTGGGATCATGACCTGAGCCAAAGGCAGACGCTTAATGACTGAGCCAGCCAGGCGCCCCTAGCCACACTCTTTTTAATGGTAGGGACCTGCCCTGTTTAATACAGCAACCACTAGCTCCATGTGGCTTTTACAACTCAAATAGAAATTAAATGAGTAAATCAAATTACAAATTCAGTGCCTCAGAAGTAGTGGCCACATTTCAAGTTCTCAGTAGTCGTGGGTGGTGAGGGGCTACCCTCCTGGAGAGAGCAGATATCGAATGTTTCCATTATCACAGATGGTCCTATTGGACAGCAGTGGTCTCGTCTCTGAGCCAATCTCCTCTTGGGTTTCACCTTCCCAGACAGGAGAGTCTCCTGCTTTTAGCAGCAGCTACATTCATCCTAGCCCGCAATACCCCCTGACCTCCCACCCCTGATCGGGTCACCTGTCCTCTGTCAGCGTGCTAGTCTCCTGTTGTTGCTGGCCTACATGCCTTGGCTCATGCCCCCCTCCTCCGTCTTCAGAGCCAGTGCAGAGTATCTTCAGATCTCTCTCACACTCTCTGACCTCTGCTTTCAGAGTCACACTGCCTTCTCGGACTCTCACCCTCCTGCCTCTCTCTTATATGAACTCTGGCATTTGATCAGACCCACCTGGATAATCCAGGACCATCTCCCCATCTCAGTATCCTTAACGTAATCACACCTGCAAAGTCCCTTTTACTATGTAAGGTAACCTATTCACCGTTCCCGAGGACTAGGACATTGGACGTTTTTTTTGGGGGGGGGGGTCATGATTTTCAGCCTACCATAATGGGCAGTGGTCTCCAGTGGCATCTTGTTTTCCTTGAGGACCAGGGCTGCACAAAGTATGCCACACACTGATGTCCTGAGCTTTTACACAAAGGGAGGAGAGTGTTTTAAAATCTTATTTTCTGCCACCGTCCCATCTGGAAATACCAAATTTTGGTGGTTCTGACTCCTCAAAATACGATCCTGTGAATATAGTAGCATTGGAGTATCTTAGAGGCAAGACAGATCCACAGCTAACTCCATGTCCTGTCGGAGTGTTTGCCCCACTCTAACACAGACTCCATTTTAGGGCTGCTCTCGATACCAGCCTCTCTCCTCTCTGTCTCTGTCTCCGTCTGTCTCCCTGTCTCCCTCTGTCTCTCTCTTTCGTGCGTGCGCGCACGCGCACACATACACACACACACACACACCAAAAAAACACAACAACCTGGGAGCTTTCTATATTAACCAAGGCAAAGCCACCTGAGCTTCTTTTCCCAGAAAAGGGAGGCAGATGAAAGCCTGAGTCATTGCTAGGAGCAGCAACAGCAGAAACCAGTGCAAAATTGGTCTTCTATTTTCAGTCCGGACAAGACGGCATAGACTCATTTCTCCTTGCTCCTCCCCACTAAGTATAACTATAAATCCTAGAAATAATTCAAGAGGCAACCGAAGAAGAATTCCAAAAGGTGTAAAGAGGAAGGCAGAATGGTTAGGGACCCCAGGACTGGAGGAGCATCCTAGTAGCAAGGCACCTTATGACTTCCTGCCCAACAGAAGAAGCTGAACCAGGCCCAGCATTTCCTAGCCCCCAGCCTAGCAACAGGAGGTGGCTCAGGTAGGCAGCTTCTTCCTCGGGTTTGAAAGGGAGTCCTGCTGACAACATCAGTGGGCCTGGCAACTCCAGCAAAGGGAATCTAGCAGGGAGCCCCTCTGACACTCAGCAGCCGGGGCTGCTGGCCAGTCTGGCACCAGGCCAGACTCCTTTCCCTTACCACAAGATACGGTGCAGCCGGGCCATCATCAAGGGCAAATCCGGCCACAGCAAATACTCTGGCCCAGGAAGCCTGTTTGGGCCCGTGGTCCTGAGAGTGCCCTCTCCCTATGAGAGATACCAGGATGCTATACAGCATGGGCAAGGGAGGTTCCACCAGAGCAAGCAAAACCAGGGAAGATTAGTTGTTTCCACAGACTCCAGACTCACTTCTTCCACCTCTAGGCCTCAGGCAACCTAGCCTGATGGAGCACCTTCAGCTCCCTTAGGCGGCACCAGCGTGGACCAGTGGGGGCCCCCGTCAGCACATTAACAAGCAGACCAAAATAGCATGGCAGAGGCTCTGAGAAATAAATTGTCATTGAAATCACAGCCTACAAAGTAGGCCAGGACCTGTGTGCTAAACCTAGAGTGACCGCCCACTAAAATAAAAGATTTAAATAGTCTTCTGATATAATAGCCAAAATACAATGAAAAATCACCTCCCATACGAAGAACTAGAAAATCACCGCTTGAATAAGGAAAGACAGTCAACTGACATCAATAGCGAGATGAATCAAAATATAGAATTATCTGACAAGGATTTTAAAGCAGCCATCACAAAAATGCTTCAATAAACAATTGCAAAGTCTCTTGAAACAAATGGAAAAAATGGAAAATCTCAGCAGAGAGAGACAAGTTATAAAAAAGAACTAAATGGGGAAATGATAAAACTGAAAAAATATAATAACAGAAATTAAAAAAAAAAAACTTGCTGGGCCCATAGTATAGTGAGATGACAGAGGATAGAATCAGTGAACTTGAGGACATATCTATAGCATATACTCAGTCTGAACAACAGAGAGAAAATAGACTGGTAAAATAATAGAGCCTCAGAGACCTGTGGGAAAAAACAAGAGATCCAACATTTATATCATCAGGGTCCCAGATGGGTATTAGAACCAGACAAAGACAGTACAAAAAAAAAAAAAAAGCAAACTACAGACCAGTATCCCTCATGAACATGGACACAAAAGTCCTCAACAAAATATTAGCAAAATGGGGGCACCTGGCTGACTCAGTCGGTTAAGTGTCTGCCTTCGGCTCAGGTCATGATCTCGGGGTCGTGGGATCGAGCCCCACATCGGGCTCCCTGCTCAGTGGGGAGTCTGCTTCTAGGGAGAAGATATCCAGTTTCTTGACATCCTCACCAGCATTTGGTGTTGTCACTATTTTTTATTTTAGTCACTCTGATATATGTGTAGTAATATCTCATGGTGGTTTTGATTTGCATTTTCCTGATGGCTAGTGATGCTGAACATCTTTTCATGTGTTATTTGCCATCTGTATATCCTCTTTAGTGAAACGTTTGTTCATATCTTTTGCCCATTTTCTTTTTTTTTAAAGATTTAGTTATTTTAGAGAGAGCACAGTGGAAGGAGGCACAGAGGGAGAGGGAGAGAATCCTCAAGCAGACTCCCCACTGAGCGCGGAGCCGACATGGGGCTCAATCCCAGGTCATGAGATCATGATTTGGGCCAAAACCAAGAGTCAGATGCTCAACTGACTGAGCCACCCAGGCGCCCTCTGCCCATTTTCTAACTGGATTGAGTTTCGAAAACTCTTTATATGTTCTAGATGCAAATCCTTGGTCAGATATGCAGTTTGCAAATATTTTTTCTAGTCTGTAGCTTGATCTTTCATAGAGCAAAACTTTTAATTTTGACAAAGTTCAATTATATTTTTTCCTTTTATGGATCATGCTTATGGTGTTAAGCCTAAGAACTCTTTGCTGAGCCCTAGATCATGATTTTCTCCTGTTTTTTTTTTTTTCTACAAGTTTTATAGCTTTACACTTTAAGTCTGTGATCCATTCTGAATTCATTGTATAAGGTGTGATGTTTAGGTCAAAGTTCTTTTTTTGGTTTTTTTTGGGTTTTTTGTCTATGGATGTCAATTGCTCCTGCATTATTTGTTGAAAAGGCTTATCCTTCCTTCACTGAATTGCTTTTACCTTTGTCAAAATTCAGTTGAACAAATTTGGGTTTATTTTTGGGTGCTCTATTCTGTTCCACTGATCTACGTGTCTACCTCCACTATTACTGCACTGTCTTGATCACTGTAGCTATATAGTAAGCCTTTACATTGGAAAAAGTAATGTCCCCCCAGTTCATTCTTTTTATGTATGTATGTATGTATGTATCTGAGAGAGAGAGAAAGAGAGAGAGAGCACAAGAAGGGGGAGGGGCAGAGGGACAAGCAGACTCCCTGCTGAGCGGGGAGCCTGATGGGGACTCGATCCCAGGACCCTGAGATCATGACCTGAGCTGAAGTCAGATGCTTCACTGACTGAGCCACCCAGGTGCCCCGACATGTGTTCTTCAACAGATTAATAGTTAAATAATACGTGGTACATCATTCTATGCCATGGAATACTACTCAGCAATAAAAAGAAATGGGGTATGGTTCACACAATAATTTGAATAAATCCCCTGGGAGTTTTACTGAGTGAGAAAAACCCATCTTAAAAGGTTACATACTGTATGATTGTTTATATAATACTCTTGAAATGACAAACAGTATAGGGATGGGGACATGGATGGTGGGTGCCAGGGGTTAGGGAATGGGGCAGATAGGAGGTGGGTGTCGCTGCAAATAGTAGCAGGAAGGATCCTTGTGGTGATAGTACAGTGCTGTACTTCACTGGTGGATCCGTGAACTTACACATGATAAACTTGCATAGAACTAAATACATGGGCACAAACAAATGATTACAAGTAACACTGGGGAAATCTGCGTAAGATCGATGGGTTGTAGCGATGTCTATATCTTGGTTGTGGCATTATCCTACAGTTTTATAAGATGCTACCACTAAGGGAAACTGGGTAAAGGATACACAGGAGCTCACTGTGATTATTTCTTACAATTGCATGTGACTTTACAACAATCTCAAAATCAAAGGTTTAATTTAAAAAAAAAGAAGATAACAACAAAAAATTAGGGTCTTGAACGTGTTTCCAGAAGCTGGATTAAGGAATCTGGCTCATTGTGTAGGCATTAAACTCATTGGCCATCTGGCTACCAGACTGGCTAGTTATACAAAAGCAGTGACTCCCCACACCTGGGTATGCAGCGCCTTAGGGGGCCTCTAATAATCCAAAGAGGTATTGTTCACCTTCTGGAAATTCTCAGTAACCAAATTTAATTGAAAATCACTTTCGTGAAAAAGCAAGCATTTGCTATATAAATCTTCATAACAGAGGGCGGCACTAGGAAACCAAAATATGGGATCTCAGCCTGTTTCCACTCTAGCCCTTCCAAAATCAGAATCACTGGCCTGATCACTGTGGAGCCAACCTATGAGGCCTAAATGGGCCTTTAAGTTAACTCCGTATAGTGAGAAGCCACCCCCAACCCTTGTCGATCAGTCAGCTGGCTCTGACCACAGGAGAAAATATGAGGGGGAATGAGAGGCTGTAGATGATTGGCTACAAAGCCCATTTCATGGCTAGCCGCCAACTCAAACACGTGCTTTACCTTCTGCTTAGATTCAACAACTTCCTTAGGAGGAGCTCAGAGGGTTATCATCATCTTTTCCCCAATAGCCTTTTCATGCCTGTTCTTCAGACCTGGAGTATCTTGAGCTTATCACTTGACTTTTTTTTAGAGGGTAAACATGATTTTGCAGAGGACTAACCAATGGGGAAAGTAATTATCCCTTAATTTAGTTTTAAATTAATATATAGGAAGGTTGACTTATTGGTATGTACAGTTCTACGAATTTTAACACAGGTGTAGATTCATGGAATCACCACTACAATCAGGATACAGAACAGTTCCTTCATCCCCCCAAAGCTCCCTAGTGCTAGCCCTTTGTTGTAATATACCCCCACCCCAAAACCCTGGCAACCACTGATGTGTTCTCCATTGCTATAGTTTTATTGTTTTGAGAATGTCATATACATGGAAACATGCAGTAGGTAACTTTGAAACTGGCTCTTTCTCTCAGCAAATGTCTTCGAGATTCATCACGCTGTTGCATCTGTCAACGTTCATTTAAGCACATTTTTTAATTTAAGAATTGCTCCTCGATTTTATTCAGATTAGTTCTCTGAGCAGGCTTTGTAATAGTGTAGTAACAGTATAATTTTTGTGCAATTAAATCACCTTTGGTCAAATGACTTACAGTGATTAGCATGTTTCTCTTATCCAGTTTTTAATCTGTTTCTTCTGGTGAAGAAAAGTAGAGAGGCAAGAAGTAGATAGTAATTTCTAAACCAGCATTACATCTCTAAATTCTAAAACTGGAAAGCAGCATCTCTGAGTGTCTCAACTATTCTTTTTTTTTTTTTTTAAAGATTTATTTATTTATTTTAGAGAGAGAGAGCACAAGCAGGAGGGGAGAGGGAGAGGGAGAGAGAGAATCTCAAGCAGACTCTGCACTGAGTGCAGAGTCCAATGTGGGGCTCGATCCCACAACCCTGAGATGGTGACCACAGCCAAAATCAAGAGTCAGACGCTTAACTGACTACACCACCCAGGTGCCCCTGTCTGAACTAGTCTTGAATTACTTCTCTCACCACTTGGGGGAACCTACCAGAATACCAGTGCTAGCAGACTTCTAGACATACATATGGTTCTTGCTCAGGAGCCTCTGTGTGATTCTCGAGCCGATCCCATACAAAGGAATGAGTACAACGGTCTCAGGAGTTCTTAAACAGCCCTCCTGAGTACCCCAAAATGTCTACCATTAGAATCACTGATCTAGGTTAACAAATTCCAGAAGACCTCTCTAAAAAAAAAAAGCAAACATGTCACTTATGGGGATATCCCATTCTGAAGTTGGGTCCTGAGAGATTAGAACAAAACCATTTGATCTGAGGTATAGGACAGGTCTGGAGTAGTGCCCAGTGCTAAGGAATAGGAACCCCAGCTTAAATTAGAGGTAGGACAGAGAACAAATGACCCTGCATGTCCAAGTGGCAGCAGGAGATGCTGGGACCCAAGGATGTGGGCTAGAAAGTGGGGAAATATTCCAAGGGGGGACTTGGGGCATGCTGAGAACAAATGTTGCTTATTTAACAAATATACCTGGATCATGCCTTCATAGGCGTTCACTCTTGAGTCGGAAAGCTGGATGCCTCGTTTGCTTCTGTCTCATCTATCTACTACCATGTAAACACCAAGAGCTTTGAAACCCCATTTTTTTTTTTTAAGTGTTTGAATCCAGTGTACTTAGCCAAAGCTAAGGAGAAGGGCACCTTTGGATCTCAGGAGAACTTTATTCTTTATTTAGTTTCTCCTTCTCCCCACAGGTAGGCCATTCTTGAAGTCCTACTTATAAAAGGAACTCAACTGCCAAGTATTGGAGACTTGAGGTGGAGGATGAAATGAGGAGAGATTCAGTCTCAGGTGGCCAGATTGATCCAGGAGCTGAGGGCAACAGGACAATCCAGAAAGTGAGCTCCCCTTCTGCCCAGGGTTTACCAGAGCTTTGGTCTTTTTCACCAAGTTTATGTTCGCAGCCTGCCCCCGACACAGCCACATAGAACTAATGAAGTGAGAGTGTGTATGTCCAATAACGCAGCTCATTTCCGTCAATTAGCCAATGCCCAGCAATGAGTCCCTTGGCAGACTATGCTTGAATTCATCCATTTTCAGTTTGATGGCTCATAACACAGACGGCTGCTTATTTTATGCATTTTATAGAGGTGGCCCTTTTAGTGCATCAAAAGAATATTTAAACCAACAGAAGAATAATCAAAGGCACCATTTATCACCTCTCTCTTACCAGATGCAAACTGTATAATGGCAGTGGTCCTTGGGTAAGGCGCAGAAAGCAAGCCCACACCGGAAAGCTAGGAAGGCAGCTGAGGCCCGGCCGCCAACAGGCAAGAACTGCGTCTTCAGAGCCAGCACAGGCGGGAGCCTTGCGGGGTGAAGCATGGACGTTTCCAGCTGGAGGCAGCCACCTCCCCTTCCATTTTCGTTCACCTCGTCTTCCATCTTCGCTTGCTCACGCTCTTCCCCCTGCCCCGGGCGACTGCGCGCTAATTCACTCGTCCAGGCTTGGGGCCTACCTCTACCTGCCCCGGTATAAGCAATAGGATGGCAGGGTGTCCATCCCCCCATACCCTGCTCAGGGGACCCACCCGGCCTCACCGCCCGAAGCAGGAGCTGGGAACCTGGACCGGTGCTCCGAGCGGGGGTGGGGGGTGGGGGGCCCTGTGGCATTCAGTACTGAGGTGTGGGGACTCGGCCTGTGGCTACACGCGGCTTGCTGGTAGACCACAGGACAGGGGCAGAGTGAGGCCCCAGGCGTTGCGCACTGCTTTTGCCTCTAGCCCTGCCCACCCCTCCCCCGGGCACCAAGGGAAGCTGGTTGGTCCCCAGAGCGTGAGGGGGTAGAGATGACACAGAATAATCCCATCTTCGAGCCTGCAAAAGAACTGAAAGCCTGTGGCTTACTCATAGATCAGTCGTACCAGCTTTTTGTGGAAAGGACAGCACGATCTTTATTCACAATCCCACTCTTACCAAAGTATTTTTAGACTTCAGAATAGGAGTGAGGAGCCTAGGCGTGTGAACACTGGTAAATTGTTCCTAGCTGGAGGTATGGAAGAAGGTGGGCAGGGCATACTGTCCTGAGTCTAATCCGCCCCCCGCCCCAGTGAAGCTTTGAAGATGTGGTAAGAACAGTTGGTTGCTTGAGAACAATAGTGAAACCCCCTTTCTTTTACATAGATTAGAACACTCTTAATGCTTATGATGACTGCGAGGGATGTTATGAAGAGAGGAAAATATTCACTGTCTCCTCCGAAGTTAGCAGGGTTGGGGAGTCAGTCTCCATTTGACCAGACAAAGAGGTGGTTTGGGTTTTCCCACTTCTGCACCATTGACTCGGTCTCAAGGAAACCCGGGCTCACCGTTGCCCAGCCGAGTGCGGACATCAACAGCAAGAGGTCAAGCACATTTTCCCTTTGACTCCTACTTTCTTCTATTTACCATACTTTGTGATTGTCCCGGTTCTTTGGAGTTTTTCCTTGTTTTTTTCCCCCAAAGGTTTTATTTATTTATTTGAGAGAGAGAGCATTAGAGAGCGAGAGCAAGCACGAATGGGGGGCAGAGGGAGAGGGAGAAACAGGATCCCTGTGGGACTCGATCCCAGGACCCTGGAATCATGACCTGAGCCAAAGGCAGACCCTTAACCGCTTAACCGAGGGAGCCACCCAGGCGCCCTGGAGTTTTTCCTTTTATCAGGAGCTTGAAAAAAATGTGGCCAGCTTCCACCCATTTGTATTAGTGTAAGAGAGTATTGCAACCGCCACAAGAAAAGCATAGATAAACCAGAGGTCAAAGAATAACAGAGTGTTCCAACTGGAGGAGCCATAGAAGCAACTTACCCCAGCCCCTTCATGCTTACATAGGGGGAAACAGACACCCACAGAGAGAAGGTAGCCGATCTCATGGTTCCCACTCTTGTCCTCTTTCTAGAATATATGACTTCATCATTACATATTTTCTTTCCTGATTTTGATTTGGAAAGGTTATTAGTTGGCATTTCTGGGGCCTATAGCCAATTGGGTGTTAAGGGGTTGGGTCCAGAGCCATACACTGTAGAAAAAGCTAGACCCATATTGAACATTCACCCTGAATGATCAGATCTGGAATCGGCAACTCGCTCGCACTGTTAAGGGTTGGCATTGCCCTATGTTCTGTCCTTGGTCCTCTTTTTTTGTATTAAGAGCAGGTCTATGGTCGGGGTTGGTCTCTATGGCAAAATAAGGCAAATTCTGAGTCGAAAAGCTGTAACTGCAGTTCTTAGGATTTTCTGCTGATCTCTGAGGACAGACAGCATGTCCTCTCTCCTGTTCAACACCAACCTTTTCACCCGCCCATCTCTTGACAATTCTTCTTCTTCTTCTTTTTTTTTTTTTTTAATTTATTTGACACAGAGAGAGAGACAGCAAGAGAGGGAACACAAGCCGGGGGAGTAGGAGAGGGAGAAGCAGGCTTCCCGCTGAGCAGGGAGCCCGATGCGGGGCTCGATCCTAGGACCCTGAGATCATGACCTGAGCCGAAGGCAAATGCTTAACCAACTGAGCCACCCAGGCGCCCCGACAATTCTTTACTCTTCCTTTATACTCTGCTACATTCGAACCCATCACAAAACCTCAGTTTTGTTTTAATAAAAACAAAAATCTTTTTACCCAATGTCCCCCTTATCCGCCAAGCCTCCTGAAAGAATAGTCTATACATGACGTCCCACTTCCTTTCTTTTCGTTCACCCCCATGCCAAACCTTTTAGTCTGTGTTGTAAGTAATCTTGCTCCACAGCATTCAGCATCCTTCAACCACTGACCCGCTGGAAACTCTCTTCATGGCTTTTCTTCTCCTGTTCTCCCACTCCTGTATTCCTCAAGGATCTTATTTGATAGTAGTTATATTTTGGGTTAATGCCTGGCTTAAGTCTCCTTTATGGCAATACTTCCCCAGCCATAGTGTCTCAGGAAGGGATGGTGAAGCCTCGGGCCTGGCCACTGGGGCTGGGGATGGATATTTAGGCAGAGGGGGATGCCTAGGAGTATAGCGAGATGGAGGGAGGTGACCGTTAGGGAGGAGGGCTGAGAAGTTGCATAGATTCAGAGGCTGAAGCTATGATTCTGGCCGCGTGAGAGTGGGCGAGGGACCTGAAGACACTACTGGGCAGGGAAGGGAGTGGGGAAATCAAGTCGATGCTCCCAGAGAAGCAAGGAAGAGATCACGAGCCAGAGGAGAGGCGTGGAGTAGCAGAGGAGGGAGAGAGGGAAATCTTTGTGGGAGGGATCAGTGGGGCGAGGGGAGTGATGAGAGGGAGCCCAGGAGAAGGCACCCAGACAACTTTCTAGATCCTGGGAGCTGCTGTTGTGCTTACTGCAGTAAATGTCTGTCTGATTCTCCCGGATCTTTGTAATAACCCTTTTTAGTACCTTGCTTTAGTGGATAATATTGTTTCTTGCAAACTTTACCCTAAGATACTTCTTCTCCCACCAACTTCTCCAACTCTCCCTGAGTGATCTCATCTGCTTTTTCTTTTTTTCAGTTTATTTATTTTAGTAATCTCTACAACCAATGTGGGGCTCGAACTCACGACCCTGAGATCAAGAGTCGCATGCTCCTCCGACTGAGCCAGCCAGGTGCCCCTCATCCACTTCTTTCTACAGTTCAAAATGTTTTTACTTCTATAATATAAAACATGCATATAGCTAAAAAAGAAATTTAAGAGTCCCAAAGGCTTATAATGAGAAGCAAAACTCCCTATGCCTACCCCTTTCCTTCTTCCCAGAAACAATAACTCCTTGAAGTGTTCCTTGTGGTGTTTACCTCAGTCATTCAAAAGAATATGACTATTGGGGCGCCTGGGTGGCTCAATCGGTTAAGCGTCTACCTTGGGCTCAGGTCACGATCCCGGGGTCCTGGGATCGAGCCCCACATCGGGCTCTCTGCTCAGCGGGGAGACTGCTTCTCCCTCTCTCTCTCTCAAGTAAATAAGTAAAATCTTTTTTTTAAAAAGGGAACATGATTATTATCTTGCTATGTCTTTTTTTTCCCCATTATTGTGGTAAAAAATACTTAGCACAAAATTGACCATTTTAACCATTGGTGAGTGTAGTATTCAGTGGCGCTAAGGACATTCACACTGTCGTGCAACCATCGTCACCATCCATCTCCAGAATTTTTTCATCATTGCAAACTGAAATTCTGTACCTGTTAAGTAACCTCCCATTCTCTTCCCTGCAGGTCCCTGGCAATGGCTATTTTAGTTGCTGCCACTGGGAATTTGACTGTTCTAGGAAAGTCATATAAATGCCATCCTACAGTATTTATCCTTTGGGGTGTGGCTTATTTCACTTAGCATAATGTCTTCAAGGATCATCCGTGTTGTGACATATGTAAGACTTTTGTTCCTTTTTAAGGCTGAATAATATTCTATTTTATACACACACACTCGTGCACGCACACGTACACACACTGTATTTTGTTCTTCTATTCGTTCAGTGATGGACATTTGAGTTTTTCCCACCTTTTGGCCATTAGGAACGTGCTCCTTTGAACACAAGTGTATAAATACCTGCTCGAGTCCCTGCTTTCACCTCTTTTGCGTATATACCCAGAAATGGAATTGCTGGATCATTTGGCAATTCTACAGTTTGCTTTTTTGAGGAAACACAATGCTGTTTTCCACCTTCTGTTTTCTTGACCAACACTTTTTAACCATCATCTACTGGCTTTGTATTACGGTAAGTGAGGGATCATCCAGTCTTAAAGTATTCTCTAGTCCCTGTGTGCTGATGGCTTCCCATGCGTATTTCAAACTCAGACTTTCCCCTGAGCTTCAGCCTTTAATATCCAAATGCTTGCTGGACGTCTCCATGTAGATGTTAAACTCAGTGTATCCCAAAATGCTTGTCCCTGCCCCACCCCCAAACTTTCTCTTCCTCTGGCTTTTCTACTGTCCCCTACCTCAGTGAGTGTCACCAATGCCTACCCAGTCACTCCAACAAGAAATCTAGAAGTTGTCACAGACTGCTCCCGGACCTTACCACCCAATGGATCACCAAGACTTTCTGATTTTACCTCTTAAGTAGCTCTTGACTCCATTTTCTTTTCACTGACTGGCACTGCTCTCATTCAGACCTTCTCGTTTGTCATCTCTTGACTGAGCCACTTGCAGTAGCCTCCGTATTCGCCCTCCTGCAAATCGAGCTAAGCTTGTTTAGCCTCTGACATCGTCACTGATTTCTCAGTGACTATCAGTAGCTTCCACTGACTAGAGATAGCTGTGGGTTGTCATCCTCACCCCACCCCGCACAATCTCCCTACCAGGTGGTCCGTTCTAGTGAAAACAGGGCTTCGACCCAGTTCTGCCAAGCACACACTTAGTAGTGGTTAGACTCAGTCCCACAACCTGTCCTCATAAGACCATGAAGCCCCATGCAGGAAAGGTTCACTGAAGCACATTCCGCAGTTCTCCAGTAGTTGCACTTTAGCTAAACTTGTGGTTAGATCGGGCGATGGAATCTTCCATTAGGTGTCAGGACGCAGGACCTATGGCTTCCCAGACTTAGAATGCCACTCTGGGCTCATCAGTTTCTTTGGCCCCATTCACGCAAGGGCAGACGACAGTATGGATCCATAAATCTAGAATACCATTTATTTCACCAGTGAAAGTTTATTTCCAACATCCCTTATATTAATGAGCAAACCCTCTCGTGCAGATTTAGGTAGATTGACTGAAGCTTTCCAGCGCTGCCTCTAGAGTGTGTATTCATAATTAGTCTTTCAGATGCAAACTAAGCGCCGCTGGCGTGTGCTCCTCATTAGGGTACTTAGATACTAACTGTCCCTAGGACATATGTATATGTACATGTACATGCATAGGTGTGTGTGTATTGCACACTGTGCTGAGTACTTTTTTTTTTTTAGAGAGAGTGCGTGCGCACGAACAGCGGGGGAGGGGCAGAGGGAGGAAAGAGAGAGAACCTTAAGCAGGCTCCACGCCCAGTGTGGAGCCCCATACGGGGCTCGATCTTATGAGCCTGAGATCATGACTTGAGCCGAAATCAAGAGTTGGATGCTCAACTGGCTGGGCCACCCAGGCACCCCCGTGCTGAATATATTTTTTTAATGATTTATTTATTTATTTTAGAGAGAGAAAGAGCACGAGCGGGAGGGGCAGAGGGAGAGGGAGAGAATCTCAAGCAGACTGCGCTGAGTGTGGAGCCCGACATGGGGCTCAATCTCATGACCCTGAGATCATGACCTGAGCCGAAACCAAGAGTCAGAGGCTTAACTGACTGTGCCACCCAGGTGCCCCTGTGCTGAGTATTTTTCAAGTAAGTTTTAGACCATATAACAAATCTATCCTCCTATGTACATCTATTCATATTGTGCCCCTGCATAAAACCCTTTATCTCCATGGTTCCCCGGTCCATGTGAAATAAAGTCCAGACTCCTTCAGGTGACATACAAGACCTTTCCAGAACCTCCCCCCACCTCTCTCCTTTTTGCACTTTATGCTCCAGTCCAGAATTACCAAGCTGCGTGTAAGTTAACCTCCACCCACGATGCTGGTTTGGCCTCATGCTCTCCCCCTGCCTGGCCCACTTTTGCCACTTTCCTTCACCTGGCTGACTCTTACTCATCCTTTGTGACTCAAACCAGGCATCAGCTCTTTCAAGAAGCCTTTCCTGTAATCCCATTCGGAGTTAAGCTTATTTATCTTGACACATGTATAGCGTTTATTATGTGCCAGGAACTATTCTAAGCACTTTTAATCCTCATTATGGCTCTGTGAGTTAGATTCTATTATTATTCCTCTTTTCAGATGAGGAGACTGAGGCACATAGAGGTTTAACTTGTCAAAGTTCACCCAACCGGTAAGGGGCAAAGCCAGACCACAAACCCACACTGTCAGACTCCAGTCTGTTCTCTTAGAAATCCATACGCCGTGGGGCGCCTGGGTGGCTCAGTTGGTTAAGCGACTGCCTTCGGCTCAGGTCATGATCCTGGAGTCCCGGGATCGAGTCCTGCATCGGGCTCCCTGCTCGGCAGGGAGTCTGCTTCTCCCTCTGACCCTCCTCCCTCTCATGCTCTCTGTCTCTCATTCTCTCTCTCTCAAATAAATAAATAAAATCTTTAAAAAAAAAAAAAAAGAAAGAAAGAAATCCATACGCCGTGCTGCTTCCCGAGGGCCCTTTCTCTATATTCCTACAGCACCTTAAGCATACCTCTGTCTTAGCATTGAGCATAATGGTTTGAAACGGTCTCTTTGTGTACGTGCCTACGGCTTCACCATGAGGGCCGTAAAGCTTAATGGTCTCTGAGGCCGTGTGGGATCGTGGTTAGATCATGCAGTCTGGGATTAGATATACCTGGCACTAAGTCCCACCTCTGCTGTGTACTACCTGTGTGACCTTACACAAATTATGTAACCTTTCTATACGCCCTTTTCTGCATTGGTAAAGTGGGGCTAAGAATACCCCACAGGGTGATGGAAAGAATGAAACGAGATGATATATCTAGAGCACCCAGCAGAGGGTCTCTCATAGTAAACAAAACAAAACAAAACAAAACCCTCTTGGTAATGCTTGACTATTACAACTAGTTGTTATTTTTATCTCTGCGTCTCTAGCAACTAGCAACTGGGAAGGAAATAGACACTGGAGGACTGTTTGTTGAACTGAACGAATATGGAAATCTTTAGACTGACCTCAATATCTAAAGGACATTTTAGTAGACATGACTTCAGAAATGGTCCCCTGTCGCTAAGCAGGAGGTGCCACCTCACTTTGCCAGGACACCCAGAAGAGTTTTACCTCCTAAGGGTAGCTAGCCCTGTAACTCTTCAGTCAATATAACTAACAAGCATATGGTGCTGGTCCTTGCCACCATTCGTTTTAGTGTAGCTAAAGCTCACACGGGAGAGCTCATCACTTCCAAGTGGGTCTTGTCATCCTAAACCATTTCCTCATCCTTCAAAATGAAAGAGAACCCCATTTTGTGTCCTTTTCTTAGAACAAGGGCTTCAGAACTCCCCAGGGCACTTTATTCTCTTGGGTTGCTGGCCTTTTCAGTTCTGGAATTCCCATGCACATTTCCATCCCAGCATGCCAGGGCTTTGATCCCTTCTGCTGTAAATTTCACTTGTCGACTGGATGAAAAATACAGTTATGGGACATGCCCAGGTCAGCTTTGGATAGTGTGGTTGTGATCGAAAGTGTCCCAGGTATCAATGAAATGCCCATCTTCTTGCACCCAAGAGCAGCTGAAGATGCTGCTTGAAAAGCTGGAATAGACATATATGTCACATTCAGAGAATAACACAACCCCCAGGAAACACTAGGGTTAGGGTTAAGAAGCTCCTCAGGCAGAATTTCTTGGTTTACTTGGGGCTAAGGAGAAACCACATTTGGATTAATCTGGCCGATCTTTCCATAATATCTGAACCTACTTCCCTTTATAAAGGAAGACAGCCTCGAGACCACTGATTCTCTCTTCCACAAGGATCTTGCAGAGCATCTGAGCCGACCTGGTTACCATCAGTGATTACTTCAGAATTTTAGATGGAGAGACAAACTTAAGAAGTTGAACTGAATTTGTATTAATCCTGGTCATAGCCTAGAATAATCTGGCAGTTTGATTAAACCTCTGATAGTTTGGTATGTTTTCATTTTTCTCTTTTTTGCCCTAAAATCTGGTGCATAGAACTACTACTATTACTACTATTACAACACACACACACACACACACACACACACCCAACTAGTTGAGGGTTCAGGATTCTCAGGTGCTAAAGGATTTTAATGCAAGGGGATAATTACTGTAGTGTGGGTTTGGTCAGGAGGGGCTGCCTGGAGATGGTGTCCAGCCAGGATGGATAGACTTCAGATGGTAAGGGCTTCCAGAGTTGAGGAAGAGGGTTGGACATGAGTCAGAGCACACAGTGCATCTAAGAAACTAGAGGTGAGGCTTGTGGTCTTAGGCTCAGCGCAAAGCCTGGGATTCCTCTCCCTTTTTCTGTCCAGATGGTTAGAAACATGGAGGGTCCAGAAACACAGAGGTTGGAAATATTCACCTCTCGGAAAGTGCACTGGGCCAGGAGTGAGGAGATAGGATTACTGATCCTAGTTCTACCACTGATTTGTCCCATAATGGTGGGCAGGTCATGTAAACCTCTCTCAGACCATTTCTTTGTCAAGTAAGATAGAGATAGATATATGATCAGACTACTACTAGTGGGAGGCTTAGGTGAAAGCTTGTAAGTATCCATCAGATGTCAGTTACTAAGAGACTATTAATAAATAAAATGTAGATACCGTGGGAAGAGAGACCATCTTGTCAGTTTGCATCTTATTGGATATTAAATACCAGCCACTCAGGGATGCCAAGAAATGGGTGTCAGTTACTGAGAAGAGAAAGGAGTGTTTTTAACAAATGAAGAGATCAAAGTTCAGAGAGTTTAAACCACTCCCCAGTTGTTGAGCAGGGACTGGGCCAAGGCCAATGTGAACTGTGTCACTGCTTTGCTCCAAGAACGTGTATCTCTGTGTCTTCGGAAGGCCCTTTAAGAGTGATGCTGTTGGTGAGAATTGTAGGGATAGTGGAAAGCTACCAAGGGCAATATTTTGGAGGTTGGCAGCTGATCTCAGATACAAGTAGTTTAATCTTTTGTGTGCCTTAATCCATGCTGATCTCTGGGTGAATTGCTAGCCCCTTCACCTACCAGTAGGTACTACCTATAATCTTTTTTTTTTTTTTTACTTCTACTGACACACAATCTAATAAAAATAAATTTTTTTTTACTTCTACTGACACACAATCTAATAAAAATAAATTTATTTTGTACTGTTTTGTACAAGTTTATAAATTTTGATTCCAATATCTGTGAGCTCTATGTCGTTCCTTTCGAGCCTAACTTGCTAGAGGGAACTGAGAGTTGCTCACATCAAAACGGGAGGTTAACGTCCCTTTAAAGTAGGAAATATTGCTGTAGGGAAGTGTCAGGAGAGAGAAAGCCAGTGAAAGGAAAGTGAGCATGGCAGAAATCCACATTCTGGCGGGATCACTGAGGAGAGGGGGGAACTGAGGATTTCAGGCTTATCTAAGAGGCCATGTCAGCGGGTGCAGAGAGAGAGAGATCGAGAGAGAGAATGGAACGCCCGCCAGAGCCTGGTAACTGTGTCAGAACCCTGCTGGTACCTGTATTTGGTCCTCAGAGCCCCTCCAGCCCTCTTCCTAGTCCCTTTGTCAGCCACCACCCGTCTCAGCTACTTGGCTAAGAGGGAGAGAAAGATAAAGAACCATTCAAATTGCCCTTCAAGACATCGTCACTTCTCTTCCAAAACATCTCTCCCCTTGGATCCTGCCGTCACTCCACTAACACACGGATACAGACAGCTCTTCCTTCCATTCTCTTTGGCCTCTTTAGCCAACACTCAACAGGGTCATCACGACAGGTTGCTGGTAACCTTTCTAAAAATGTATTTGATCAGTGTCTTCACTGATGGTATTTCAAAGTGTAAAGGTAGACATTGAAAACTTGATAGTGATCTGAAAAGGAATTTAAGTAAATCTTATGACTTTGTTGTAGAGGTTCCAGGCTTCCTCTTATAATGGGAGGTTTTATGTCTTTATTTATTTTAAAGATTTATTTTTTTATTTGAGAGAGAGAGAGAGCACGAGCAGGGGGCGGGGGAAGGGAGAGGGAGAGGGAGAAGCAGACTCCCCCTGAGCAGGGAGCCCGATGCAGGACTTGATCCCAGGACCCCGGGATCATGACCTGAGCTGAAGGCAGACACTTAAACAACTGAGCCACTCAGCTGCCCCAGATAGAACATTGTTTTATTTTTTAAGATTTTATTTATTTATTTGAGAGAGAGAGAGAGCATGAGAGAGAGAAAGCATGAGAGGGGGGAGGGTCCGAGGGGGAAGCAGGCTCCCTGCTCAGCGGGACTCGATCCTGGGACTCCAGGATCATGACCTGAGCCGAAGGCAGATGCTTAACCGACTGAGCCACCCAGGAACCCCAGATGGAAGGTTATAAGGCAACTGCTTTCTCGGGCACCTGTGTGGCTCAGTTGGTTAAGCGACCAACTCTTGATTTCAGCTCAAGTCCGGTGTTGGGCTTCCCACTCAACAGGGAGTCCCCTTGCCCTCTCCCTCTGCCCTTCCCTCCTCCCTCCCCCGCTTGTGTGCTTGCTCTCTCTCTCTAAAAAAATAAAATAAAAAATAAAATAAAGCAACTAACCCAGAAAAATTCTACTTCCTTCACCTCCTTGAATCTAACCCCCATATCTGAGAGAATTCGGGGTATTATTTGTGTTAACACTGGTGTCTGAGGGCCAGTCCCTTTTACACCTTGGTTGGATGAAGTTGTTGGTGGAAGTTCACATTTGTATGTTAACATGTGACTTTAATCAGAGTCTGGAGATGGCCCATTGTTAATAATTTGGCGTATGAAAAAACAAAATGCTTTTATTCTCATGAGAAAGGCACTAGAATTCAACCTCATCCCCCACCCCATGAATGTGTATTTTACATAAAACCAGACAGATTTTCTTAACAACATTAATAATGTGCTATTATAACATAATTGCAATATTATACCAAAAGCATTATCCATGTTAAGTACTCTCCAATTTAGAATGAGTGAATAAATTCTCTAAAACTTTTAAGAGAAGAATATCCATTTTCTTCAGCTAAATAATCCATAAGTTCAAAAGGTAAAAGGAATAGTTCTTCTTACACAAAATGCGGCATGTATGTGGGAGTAGAATTTTGATAGGAATTTGTGAGCTTGGGGCGCCTGGCTGGCTCCGTCGGTAGAGCATGTGACTCTTGATCTTGGGGTGGTAAGTTTGAGCCCCACAGTGGGTGTAGAGAGTACTTAAAAATAAAATCTTAAAAAAAAAGAATTTGTGAGCTCCCTGCTAGTGCATTTAAAAACCTCCTTGGCAATCTCCTGGCAACTAAGGATACTATGCCCCCTTCCAATGTGGGGCCAAGACATAGTATCTGCAGAATTACATACCCATTAAGGTAACACTCGTTCTGTCATTTTTGGTGTATGGCACCCAAGGTCACCCTGGATGCTGACATCCAGCCAATAGACAGGAAGAGATAAAGAGTGGAGAAGGCAGGTGAGCTCCTGAGATTGGCCGGAATGTGGCACACGTCCCTTTCACCAACATTCCACTGGTGAGGACTTGTGAGGTGATCACTTCGTGATCTAACCACGATCCCACACGGCCTCAGAGACTATTAAGCTTTATGACCCTCATGGTGAAGCCGTAGGCACGTACACAAAGAGACCGTTTCAAACCATTATGCTCAATGCTAAGACAGAGGTATGCTTAAGGTGCTGTAGGAATATAGAGAAAGGGCCCTCGGGAAGCAGCACGGCGTATGGATTTCTTTCTTTTTTTTTTTTAAAGATGTTATTTATTTATTTGAGAGAGAGAATGAAATAGAGCACGAGAGGGGGGAGGGTCAGAGGGAGAAGCAGGCTCCCTGACGAGCAGGGAGCCCGATGCGGGACTCGATCCCGGGACTCCAGGATCATGACCTGAGCCGAAGGCAGTCGCTTAACCAACTGAGCCACCCAGGCGCCCCACGGCGTATGGATTTCTAAGAGAACAGAGTGGAGTCTGACAGTGTGGGTTTGCGGTCTGGCTTTGCCCCTTACCGGCTACGCGAACTTTCACCCTAGCCGTCCTATAGCACCAGCTCAATTTGCTTGGCGGTTTTCCATCACTTGGAAGAATGAGCTTCCTCATGCCCCACTCAGAGACAACACCACCGGTCTGTGCCTCCTTCTCGAAAGTCTGAGCCCTAGCACCCAGGGACCCTCCTCCAAGCTCAGAGATCCCAGCACCAGCTAGCAAGCACTTCCTTCTCAGAAGTCTGAATTTCAGCTCCACGGAGGCCCTCCCCCAAGTTTTAGTAATTATGTATTCTTCTCTTACTCCCCACGTCCCCCCAGTCTAGGAGTGCTAGCTGCTTCCTGAAGTGTCCCTTATAGCAGCACCGTGTAATAGAAATATAATGTGGGGGAGCCTGGGTGGCTCAGTCATTAAGCCTCTGCCTTCGACTCAGGTCATGATCCCAGGGTCCTGGGATTGAGCCCTGCATCGGGTTCCCTGCTCAGCGGGAAGCCTGCTTCTCCCTCTCCCACTCCCCCTGCTTGTGTTCCCTCTCTCGCTGTGTCTCTGTCAAGTAAATAAATAAAATCTTTAAAAAAAAAAAAAAGAAATGTGAATCACACACTGATCTTTACTCTTCTAGTAGCTACGTTAAAAAAGTGAAAAGAAATGGTGAGATTAATTTCAATAGTATATTGTGTTTAACCCAATATATCTGATCTGCTGCATTTCAACATATAATTACTATAAAAATTATTAGATATTTTTATATGAAGTCTTTGAGATCAGGTGTGTATTTTATACTTACAGCATATTTCAATTTGGATGATAAATTTTCACCAGAAATACTTGATCTGTGTTTAGATTTCATAAAATTTACAGCTGAAGATGTAGATTTACATTTTTCAAGTTGTTCCCAATATACTGAAAAGTTTGCCAATAACTGAATTGAGTATCAATGTGTAACTTTTTTAAAAAAAGACTTTATTTATTAATTTGACAGAGAGAGAGAGAGCACAAGCTGGGGGAGTGGCAGAGGGAGAAGCAGGCTTCCCGCTCAGGAGGGAGCCCCATGTGGGGCTTGATCCCAGGACCCTGGGTTCATGACCTGAGCCAAAGGCAGATGCTTAACCCACTGAGCCATCCAGGTGTCCCAATTTGTAACTTTTTATCTTGAAATAATTATGCACTCACAAGAAATTGAAAAAATACTACAGAGAGGTTCCATGTACCTACCACCCAGCTGCCCCTCATTGGTGACATCTTTCATAACTGTAACTTTCACAACCAAAATCAGAAAATTAATTGGCATGATACAATGAACTACACTACAGATCTTAGTCTGATTTCATCAGTTTTACATATACTTATTTTTTTAAAGATTTGTTTATTATAAGAGAGAGAGCAAGAGAGCCGGGGAGGGACAGGGGGAAAGGGAGAGAGAGAATTCCAAACAGACTCTGCGCTGAGCGTGGAGCCTGATGTGGGGCTCGATCTCACGACCCTGAGGTCACGACCCGAGCCGAAACTAGGAGTCAGATGCTCAACTGACTGCACCACCCAGGCACCCCTACATGCACTTATATTTTGTATGCCTTTGTGATTGTATGGCACTTTATCACTCGTGTAGATTTTTATAACTACTACCACCACAATCAAGAGACCAAACTGTCCCATCACTCCAATGGGAGCTCCTCAGGCTGCCCCTTTGCAGTTATCTCCTCCCTCCCTTACACCTAACCCCTGGTAACCTAGTAGGTGTTCTTCATCTTTACAACTTATCACATTTTGAAATTGGCTTTTTTCACTCAGCATAGTACCCTTAATATCCATCTAAGTTGTTTGGTGTATCAATGGTTTGTTCCTTTTTATTGCTGAGTAGTATTCCATGGTATGAATGTACCACGGTGTGTTTAACTGTTCACCTATTGAAGGACATTTGGTATGTTTTCAATTTTTGGCTATACGAATAAAAGCTGCCATGAACATCTGAGTACAGTTTTTTGTGGGGGCATACATTTTGATTTCGGTGGGATAAATGCCCAGGAGTGTGATTGCTGGATCATATGATAACTCTGTGTGTAATTGCCAGAATGATTTTAAGAGGGGCTGTACCATTTTGCATTCTAACCAACAATGAATGAGAGACCCAGTTTATTGGCATCTTCATCAGCATTTGGTGTGATCAGTGTTCTTTATTTTAACCATTCAAATTGGTATGTAGTACCATCTCACTGTGGTTCCAGTTTGCATTTGCCTAATGGCTAGTGATGTTGAACATTTCTTCATGCATTTATTTGCCATCTGTATATCATTCTTGGTGAAGTATCTGTTCAAGTCTTTCCCATTTAAAAATTGGGTGGTTGGTTTCTTACAGTTGACTTTTGAGACTTCTTGATATGTTCTGGATACAAATCCTTTGTAAGAGGTGTAATTTGCAAATATGTTCTCCCGGTCTGCAGCTTATTTTTTTATCCTCTTAACAGGGTCTTTCACAGAGCAAAAGTTTTTCATTTTGATGAAGTTCAGTCTATCCATTTTTTTCTTTTATGTATCGCTTTTGGTGTCATGCCTAAGAACTCTTTACTTAATCATGAATATTTTCTCCTACATCTTCTTCTGAAATGCTATAATTTTACATTTAAATCTATGATCTTATTTGAGTTAATTTTTATGTAAGGGATGAGGTTGAGATCTAGGTTTATTCTATTTTTGCCTATGAAGATCTCATTTTCCCAGCACCACTGATTGAAAAAAAAGAACCTATTTTTGGGGTCCCGTGACCATGCAGGTTCAGTGGTTCACTGGATGGACTCAGCAGACCAGTCATAGGCTTTACTCACAGCGAAGCTTTTTTTTACAGGAAAAGATACAGACCAAAAACAATAGGAAAAATATGCATGGGATAGAGTTCGGAGTGGTCCGACACAGACTTCCCCATCTGAAGCCACACAGAATGTGCTTTCTCTCTAGCAGTCAACTGCAGGGACATGTGCAGAATAACTCTGCCCAAGGAAGCCTGTGCAAGTCTCGGGATCTGAGACTTTTATGTGCAGGAAAATAGCTGTCAGGGCAATCTGGTGACATAGGCCACAGAAGTGGACGCGTGACCGGCAGTTTATCTGAGTCTTTTTTTTTTTTTTAAGATTTTATTTTTTTATTTATTTTTAGAAGATTTTATTTATTTATTTTTTAAAGATTTTATTTTTTTTTTTAAGATTTTATTTATTTATTTGACAGAGAGAGACACATTGAGAGAGGAGCACAGGCAGGGGGAGTGGAGGGGGGAGAGGCAGGCTTCCCGCTGAGCGGGGAGCCCGATGCGGGGCTCGATCCCAGGACCCCGGGACCAAGACCTGAGCCGAAGGCAGACGCTTAACGACTGAGCCACCCAGGCGCCCCAAAGATTTTATTTATTTTAAAGAGAGAGAGAGCACAAGAACATGAGCTGGGGTGGGGGGAGAGGGGGAGGGAGAGGGAAAAGTAGGTTCCCTGCTGAGCAGGGAGCCCGATGCGGGACACGATCCCAGGATCCTGGGATCATGACCCGAACTGAAGACAGACACTTAACCCACTGAGCCACCCAGGCACCCAGTTCATCTGAGTCTTAGCAGAACTCCTTGTGATCCACTGAGAACACAAGAGGAGGGGAGGCACATTTGCTTTGGAGTCATCCTTTTTGATATGTAGGACAAGGAGCATAGGTTGCTGGTCCCTTCAGCTACTCTGCCTTTCATTCTCCATGTAAGTAATAAACTGTCTGAATCTAAAAATGGCTCATTGTGTCTTTATTGGCTGAATCTGTGAGGCCTTACTTAGCCTTTCCTCACATGCCATTGAATTGCTTTTCTGCCTTTATCAAAAATCAGTTGGATGTATTTGTGCGAGTCAGTCCTTTTGAACAGTTTTATTGGCATATATTGACATACAATAAACTGCATGTATTTAAAGCATACAATTTCAGGTTTGGCATACATATACACCTATGAAACTATCACCACAATCAAGATAATGATCATAACCAACGGCACTCGGAAACTTTGGGTTATGTTCATTATGTTGATTATGGAGATGGTTTCATAGGTGTATACGTATGCCAAAACCGAAATTGTACAGTATGATACCAAAACGGACAAATATACCAATAGGACAAAGGAGGGAATTCAGAAATATACTCAAACAAATATAGACAGCTGGTTTTTTACAACGGTACAAAGGCAATTCATTGGAAAAAGAATAACCTTTTCAGCAAATGGTGCTAGAACTATTAGGTATTTATCTGCAGGAAAAAAAAGCAACTTGAATTCATACCTTGCCCCATCCACAAAATTAACTCAAAATGGATCATAGAATTAAATATAAAAGTTAAAACTGTAAAACTCCTCCAAGAAAATACAGGTGAAAAATCTTCATGACCTTGAGCTAGGCAATGATTTCCTAGATATGACACCAAAAGCATAGTACATTAAAAATGAATTGATAAATTAGACTTCATGAAAATATAAAACTTTGGCTTTTTCAAAGACACTGTTAAGACAATGAGAAGATAATTCACAGACTGGGAGAAAATATTGGCAAAGCATATATCTGATAAAAGATTTGTATCCAGAATATGTAAAATACTCCAAAAGCCCAATAAGAAGAAAATGAACAACCCAATCAATATC